TGTTCTTTGAAATTTGTCTTACTGATAGAATTTGTATTGGAATCGTACATAGATGGTACTGAAGCTTGACATTCAAGAATCTAGTCACGCTTCTGTTTGACTCAGTTTGAGTCGGACTCTGATAAGTGTTTAACCTGTTCTTATATGTAATTAGTATTTCTTCTAATTATTATAAAGTGAAAGTGTTGTTTACATCAATACATAATATTCTAGAGACCTCTTTCATTAGTTACAGAACGTAGTGCATCAGAATAGATTTATAATCATCTAACATATTAAGAAATATTAATGTTGGATTTTTCTCAATAATATTTTCTAATGGGTGTCCCAGAAAAATGGGTCTCGCTGTATTTTAATAATATCTCTTTTAATATCCAATCCTTTAGTTTTTTTAAAAGATTCGGCTTTTAATTCTCTACAAAGCGCTATAATTCTTATTAATGTAAATGACATCCGTAATTTTACAGGATACGCGTCAAACAAACAGTCACGCGTGAACAATTTTGTAAAAAAAACCTTTCTATTAAGTTATTTTTCTCGTATCATACAGTTTTTGTATGATAGCTTCTTTCAATATAATTGATAAAATCTACAAATCTGTCTCAAAATTGAATACTTCGATGTATTTAAATCTGAATAATACGGCGGCCAATGATTCTTGATGATGAAAGATGATAAGTTGACTTGGTACTACTGTTGCATCAGTTGATGGATGTGAAACTTCGCACTACGATCTGCTGAAACGTTCACTCTATTCTGAAGATTTCATTTCTATACTTTAGTAGTACTGAAATAACATTCTTGATGTATTGGACGTCATATAAGGTCACGTAAACAGAGAAAGCCTAAAGAAGTGGATATTAAAAGAAATGTCATTAAAATACAGAGAAGCCCATTTTTCTTGGGGAACACCTGTTACATTTTATATCCATTAGTTTAAAACTTGATATCTATGAGATTGTGTATGAAAATGGGTTATTTTTATGAACAGCTTGTTATAATATACATATATCATAATAGAAATTATAATCATAAAAGTTAACAAATAGAAAAAATGTGAATTTATAACTGCCAAAGGAAACATATAATCTTACGATGATCGGGGGTGAGTTCGAAAAGATTTAATATACTTTTTTGTATTAAAGAAATAATTCTATAATCATTTTCTATTGAAATCTCAATGGACACACGAAGAAGTCATTATCTCTTTGAGCAACAAAAAGAGACTAATGAGAGATACGAAAAAGCGCAAAGCATTGTGTTGCAAGAGAACGGACAAAATATACAACATTACATTAACACTGAACGAACAATAAATCATGCTAAACATAGTAAGATATGTTATCAAATGAAGTAAAGCTGCACAGTTGAATGAATTTCTAATCATATTAAGATAATATTAATAAACTTGTCAGTGCAGCCCCTTGAGAGGCTAATGTGTAGAACTGACAAACTCTGACTTTTATAAATAAATCAAGATTATATTAAGTTTCGCTTTAAAAACCTCTATATATTGGCAGATAAATCGTTAATGCATAACATTTTTTCTCCTAATAATAATATATCTACGGTATATGCCATAGATTCTAGGTATTGAAGAAAGAGATGTAATGAGAAAAACCTTAGTAACTCTACGGACTACACGAATCATCAAAATTCAATGAAGTCCAGGAACTCATTAAAAAAAGTTGACGGTCAGATAATGTTGATGATCAAGCATTGCTAGTCTGCGAGAACAAGATAGCTTTTACAATAAAAAGCCATTGTCGAATAACTCTTATATGTACAATTGTTGTTCGATCGTAGAACAACTGCATCTACAATGGTGTCCTTTAGAAAGTGAAGGAAAAACAAATCTCTTATTCATTACGAGATGATGTTAGAGTAATCGCAAAATCATATTTTGTCTTTGACTTTTACTTGATGTTTAATTAGATGATGAGTTTCTTATAATTTCAAGCACTTTGAGAAAGCATTTTCAAAAACCATTCCGTCAATAATGTGGGAAGTCAATGCCTCAAACAGTATTCCTTACTGGAGATAATGTGAGAACACAACGTTTTCTTAAAACGAATTCATATGTTTTCACTGAGACGTGGCGGCACAAATACAAAGGAGGTGAAAATCTTATTCTGGTAATGGCCATATGTTTCGAGTCTTTGAATAAATTGTGATATTTATTCCAAAAACCTGAATACCTAGGCATACGCGAGCAATAGACAAGTGAGAAAAATTCTTCGAAAAGTGACCATATAACCTGAGAATTTCTCCAATGTGCTCAGTGCATCTGAGGGATAACAGTAATTTTAATCAAATAATTTGGATTATCAATAATCATGCTCACTTGGAAGGCAATAATCAACAATATCCTACCTTTATTTACTTGAAGGTTGATTTCCATAGTCGGCATCTAAAAATATGAGATATTTGATGAATATCCATTTTCTCGAATGATTATTGCCTGACCTGTGGAGTAACGAAACTGGCTTCAGTGTGTACGATACTGGTGTCGTCTACTGCAGCTGCATAATTCTATGAACAAAAGAAAATAGGTATGAAAGAAGGACAAAGCGCTAACGAATTGTTTGAATTACTTGAGCTCTGCTGGAGCTTATTTTTCTTCTTTTTTTTGCAGCTGATGCAGTCTTGGTCGAAGTATCTGCAATAAAAGATCATCATTCTTTTTATAATAGCCTCGTTGTGTCATTTTCGATAAACTTCAACATCATTTTCACTCTTTGATGATTTCTAGTGATTTTTATCAGTGCAAATCAGTTTTTATCAGCTCACCCTGTATGACTTTAATTTTAATCTTATTACTATAGATTTTCTATAATTTAGAGTGATTTTTCATTCATTTCTAATGATTTCTCATGGTTTATAATGGCTTCTGATAGTTATCTATAATTATGAACCATCTCTATTCATTGCTCGTATCCTTAAGGTATTGTTATGATTTTTGGTGACTTCTAATGATGTCTAATCATTTCCAGAATAGAAACTAGTTTGTTTCCCCTTGATTTAATATTTTTAATTTGATATTGAAATTCTAGCTCATAGATTCCGTAGATCAGAGAAACACATGTTTCCTTTGTAATGATTTAGAGTCTTCTGATATCGTCTTGCGTCTTTTTTTATATCACTTTAGTTTATATACTCTTATATTCTATGTGGCATCCGTTTGATATCTATTTATTTTTTATTACAGATAATGACTTGAGTACTTTGCTTATGTGAAATATTTCTTAAATTAATATTGATTACAAAAAGAAACTGCCAGTTTATTGGCACTATCAATTCTAATACAGTTTTCATCGTTGTAAGATTAAAGATGTATCCCCTCTTTTGAGTGAAAATTCGTATACATCCGCTAGCATAGTGATTGTTCTCTAAGATGTCTAATCTAGTTTCCTGGTATCACTGATTTATGTAAGTAATATAGAATCTAACAAGTCAAGGCGAAGTATTCGATCTGTAGGATTTCTTAGATTTATATACTAATGTAAGAAGTGAATGCGATTATAGAATTCCTTTCTAACTTATCAAATATTCGAACTTTTAACTAGCGAACATTAAGGATAATCAACTATTGTGCCGCTTAACAGATTTTCACATCACCCACACTTACTTCCGAAAAGGAAAACAGTCCTTAGGTTCCCAAAAGCGAGATATAATTAACAAACGGGGCATTCTATCAATCTATTCATGTCAAGGTTAGTAAATAATTAGTTAGTACCGACAGAGCGAAAACCTTTAGTGATTAGTTGGTGATTAAACGATACAATATAGAACATAATGACAAGTGAAAACAATATCGTCCAGAAGATCTATCCTCAATCTATCCGTATAGGACAGAATTTGTTTAATTTTTATTAGTTTTAAACTGAATTAAATCATATTTTCGTATTGAGTTTCCGGTACTTAATCATAATCGACGATTTCTAGATGGTTTAGGAAATAAGAATAAGAGCAACTACAGAAGTTTTGTCAAACAAAAAATGACTATTGATCATATATTGGATTGTATCATAATTTGACTTTTTAAAGAAAACATATTAGTGAAGAATAGAATACAATCGAAATTTTGCACTTCCTGAACTTTACTTTGAAATGGATCAATTTACAGACGAAAACATAAGGTTATCAGCCTGCTTATAAGAACAAGAGCACAGAAAACTTTTATAACTAACTCGAATCGATGATCTCATAGAGAAAACATAAAAACAATCAATCGCAATCAAAACTTCAGCTTTTTCTCCCTTGGAATGTCCTGAGTAATCAACATCTACTTTTTGACTTCTCGCTTACCCTTATTTTTGCATCGTAAAGTAATTATTTCAATAGAAAAAAAGAAGCAAATTCAGCTCAGTAGAGACAAAATTGTATTATTCACAATCTAGAGTCATGTTTTAATCTAGTTCATTGAAAATGTATTAGAGGAAGGGTGTGGGTGGATGTGGATATTATTGTTCCTCTCATTCACACCCACCTATCCCTAGCCTTTCCAATTACGTTGTTCATAAATATCATATTTAGTTTCGACAAGACTGAGTTTTGTCAGTAAAAAGTGCAAATAACTCAGAATATCATTCTTTTTTCACACAAAAACATCGGATATTATTTATCAAAATGTATCGATATGTGTAATACTTATTGTTTTATTCCTTCCGAATGAAGTTCGTCTTAGAAAATATCGTTTTGCTTCTGTAGTATCACAAATAATCGAAAATATTGAGCAGAGATAGGTGATTCTATTTTTTGTTGCGTAGTATCCATGGTTGGTCCGCACTTTTAAATCTAATGACGTCATAGTAGTAGAGCATGTTTCCTGTGATGTCCTCGACGAGTGACACAAGTTGAATTATAAAATTAAAAAGTCTTATTTCCTGAACACATCAGCGTCTACTTTGTGATTGTTTTTGCTCATTCACGCCTATCGCCTATGACTTAGATCTGACATCTCAAAAAATGATGTAATAGCTTACAACATCTATGAAATTAGCTGCTGGACAGGATAAGTCGAAGATTGTTGAAGAATAATATTAGAGAAGATCCCCCTGTCACCAAAATTGTGTTCATTCGGGCATTTTCCTGTAATCTAAGAATACAATGGCGAGAACTCATCACATTTCTTCATCACAGCAGTATTAATATCTGATCTTATTGCTATTTTCATTATCTAACGGTTTTTTCCAAAAAGAAAGACATCATTTTATTATTTTCTTTTTTTGTCTTCTCGCTCTTTACACTCAAAGAGCAGAGCTATTTATTCAACGATTTTTCGGTTAATTTCTTTACAAAATGATCTTTGAAAGATGACCCTAAGATTTGAGATACTGTCTTTAATGAACAAATATCGAAATGTCCTAAGAACTTTCCTCTATCGTTTATATTATACTGCGGATTTTTTGTCATTCTATATTTAGAGTAATATCTTTTGCAGTAATCCACGACCGCTTTTCTCATCTTGTCAATTTGCATTTGAAATTATGTTTAAAATGGCCAGTAGTCAGTCAAAAACAAACCAATTGAGCTTAGTATTCTGTTATCTTGAAGATAAATATTTTGCCTATCCAACTCATGTGCGAAGTGTTTGATATAACTTCTGAACAATAGAATTTCTGTTACTAACGCATTTTATTCAATGATCGCTAGCAATTATACAGTAGGCATTTTTATCATATCAGACGGACGAACGCACTATGAATATGACATCATCAAAAATACAACATCTAAAAGTACTAAGAGATGATCAATGATCCTCTTCCTAGTACTGTCAAAGAAGTGTTCAAACTACAAAAGTATCGATGGAAAAAATTGATTTTTTATGTTGTTAAAGATATTTGCATTTGGGTTCGATAAGAACAGCGTGACGAATGTTATGGTTATCTTTTTTTTACATCACTTTGTAGAGAAATGAATGAAAAATTTTTTGGTAAAACGATGAGCCTTGTGAATGCGAGGGAGAAGGAGAAAAACTGAAAATAAAAATTACATCATCATTTTTTTCAACACTCATTACATAGTCAAATATTTTCTTAACTAACTAACTAACTATCTATCTCTTTGTCTTTCGATCTGCCGAGCTTGCAGACTATCGGTCTACCTTTCCATCTAACTTTTTCTATTAATATTTATGCATGTAGTTGTAGTACAATTATTATTCATCGAGCTATATACCTAACCATCTCTCCGATGACTTGCGTTATTTTCTTATTATCTGTTCTTGTCGATCTATGGAACTGGCAAAGTGTCGATCGATGTAACTGATGGATGGCTTATATACTCTGTAGCAGAACCACAAAAATTGATTAAATCACAAAGAAGACTTAATGTTAAACTAGCTTCAGCTACTAAAGCGTGTGCTTTATCTTGTAATGAATCTTTAGGTACAATTTTGTAACCAGCATATAGTTGTTTACGTGTACTTGTATTGTTTTTCAATGTCTTTGGATGTCACAGTGTAGCACCAGTAATTAATAAATCATTACAAATAACATATAACATACCCGAATGAGATTGAGTACAACCCATATTTTTCGATCTAAAAAGTATTTTTATAGTCAAAGTTTCATATTTTATATCGACGAAATTGTTAAAAGTGAAAATCATTAAAACTCAAGCATGAAAAAAAACTTGTCGCGCCAGCTGTAACTAACTATAAAAAAATGTGGAAAATATTCAAGCGAGTGCTGCAGCTATCTTCACTAACCCGTTGCAGCTAGTTGAATAAACGTACACATGAAAACTGGCGCTATAGTAGTCGTTTCGATTAGTAATGAATTACCCAACAAGATTTTTAACTAGTTGCAACTACTTCCAAATCCCATACAGTAACTTGAGTGTGGGTAGAAATTCACTCCACGGACACCCACACCCAGTCTGTGAGGGATGAAGAGGAGTGCAAATTTCTATCTCTATACTACAACACTCCTTTTAAATCATGTTCCACCAAAAGCGTCAAAATTCCAGAGTTAATTTCAACTCCAAGTTGGAGCTGCCCATGATTAGTTCTGTACAAATAAATGCAAATGGTTCATTCATTATGAAACTAGCACTGTTCTTGATGAGGATCAAAAGTCAGAAAAATTTTTACTACACTTAGACTTTGGAAAACTTGAGGGCTAAGCTCCCAGATGAAAATTCCTGGCGCCACCTCCACCAGTCAATACCAATTAGTGTTGATATTGTTACATCCTATCTGTATAGTAGCCCTGGAGGACTTATAGGTACCCAGAGTATAGACCTTGAGGATTTGCGGATACCTCTAAACAACCGATGATTTAATCAACATAGATTAATTAAATATATGCTCAGTTGGACTGGGTACCCAGTTAATTGGCACTGGTGCATCCCTACTCGTAACATAATGATAACTGACTATGCCTACCAATACCAAATCCACAATATTGTACTGGTATTGTTATCCCCTAATTCCTCTATCTGAGCACGCTTACACCGGTGCACTGGTGGTATTGTGAGCCAATAGTTCACCGTCATCGTTGCACCCCTAGTATTTGGCACTGTAAAGCGATTCCAGCTCAAACAGTCACTCATGTCTATCCCGTCACTCTGACGACTGAAAAATTTTGACTTTTCCAGACACACAATCTTAATAGCTCTTGCTAGTGGCAGTCTCGACATTTGAAGAACATTTGTTGACGTACTCTAGGTCTTCCAAAAACTCTCTCGAATCCTGAAGAAACATTGACAAGGCATACATTCGCTATCATTGTTAAAGATTCTAACCTTGCTCGAGTTAAATTTGCGATTCGAACAGTTAAGATAAGAGTTGTGTTTATGCACCTTTTTTCGACGACGAACACGAAAGAAAAGTGACTTTGTTATTTCTGTCAGGCTCTTTTTATAACTACTACAAGATAAGAGAGCAAGGATTATTTCCCTTGTCTTGCAAGTCATAAGATAGAGTCGAATGACATACTGAGTACTGCACAACAGAGACTGTCATGGAGCAGTTTTTTATGCCCTGCCCTGCCCTGTTTCGCCCTGCTCTGCCCTGAAAGCAACGTATTAATTTCATTTTTGCCCTGCCCTGCCCTCAGGGCAGGGCAGGGCAAGACAGGGCTTCGAAAACTATTCTGATTGATAAAATTAATAACAGTACGAAAAAACATTTTAACTATTTTCACATAGTGTTTTCGCGTTTTATTTACATGTTAGGGTGTGGGTGGGTGGGGGTGTGGGTGTGGGTGTGTGGATGTGGGTGTGGGTGTGGGTGTGGGGTGTGGGTGTGGGTGTGGGGTGTGGGTGTGGGTGTGGGTGTGGGTGTGTGGGTGTGGATGTGTGGTGTGGGTGTGTGGGTGTGGGTGTAGGTGTGGGTGTAGGTGTGGGTATGTGTGGGTGTGAGTCTTCCTTTCCAAAATCTACATCCACACTCTACACCCACACACCCACACCCCACATCCACACCCCACATCCACACCCCACATCCACACACCCACACCCACGCCTACACCCACACCCACACCCACACTCACATACATAAACCCAATCCCAAACCCACGCTTACACCCCACACCCCGTACTCATACCTCCACGCACACCCATACCCTACACTTATTCCTTCATTCACACCCCACACTCAAACCAACACCCATACCCATCTACCCACACACACCCACACCTACACCCACATTCCCAACCCAAACCACACCACACCACATCCATCCGCACCTACACTAGAGATCAGCGGGATCAAACTTTTTTGCGCCGAAACTTGCCCTGACACCCGACAATATTTTTTATCTCTCTTCGGTCCCGACCCCGATCTCGAGAAATTTTATTCGGGATACCAACCTCGAAAAGCTCCGATTTTTTTCTCACAAATAACTGACACCTAATGTGCGTGGCATTATGCTGACAGAAAGATGTAGACAACTGTTGATTGCTAGCCACTCTAACGGAACAAATTGAAAAGAAAAACAAGGTAGGGCGTGGGTACGTGTTGATGCGGGTGGATGTAGATGTGGGTGGTTGTGGGGCGTAGCGCGAGTCTGGCTGCGAGGTGTGGGTGCAGATTTTCTATTCTTCCACATTCACACTCACATGCACACGCACATCCACACCCACACATACACCCACACCCACACCCCAGGCACACACCCACACACACATCCACACCCACACAAACACCCACACCCACAGTCACACACCCACACCCACACCCACACATACACCCACACCCCACACACCCACACCGGCACCCACACCCACACCCACACCCACACCCACACCCACATCCACATCCACACACCCACACCCACACCCACACCCTTTTCACGCTCCATCTTATGGTATATTTCGATTTTTTAAATCCAACCTATTAAATAATAATAAGATGAAAAGCGAAGTGCCCCATTCTTTTATGCCACACCCATCATGATCCAAATGCCACTAGTTGGTTTTCAACAAAAAACAGTTTTTACCGAAATTTTATTATTATGATATCACTTGAATAGTGATCAAATAGCATAGAAAAATAGAACGAAAGACGCTCTATCTTTCTATAAAGAAAGAAAATTTTTTCAACCTTTTTATAAAGAAATTTTGCAATGGTGCCACTACTTTTGGATACCCCGAAGTAATACTAGATAGAGAGAAAATTTGAAGTTTTCCAATAGCCAAATCTATATCAAACCATACAACAACCACATCTCTCTGCTGATCTGGATGATTCTTTTCATACATATATTTTCAACTTCAATGTAAGAAAGAAGAAGAAGACCCTTTCCCAACTGAGGTTGAATTTCCTGGTGGAACTATTCATCTATATCATCGATGAGACAGATGAACTTCAAAAGTATGTACAAGCATTTGCTGAGACATAGCATAGTGAGTTTCTAGAGGCGATGATTCTAATCAGAGTTATAAGAGAATCCATTACTCACCATAAACACAGGCTGAACCTACTCCAATAAACTTGCTTCTCTGTGTAACATTGAATATATAGGTTACACACTAGAACTCCTCACTGACTATTTCTGACGACAGTTTTGTTAACCTATTCATTTGATTTCGAGCAGGAGAACGATCAAATTCATCATATGGTGGAACATTTCTTTTAGGATTTCATAGAGTAGACATCTTTTTCGAATTCTTATAATGGTTTCTCTTGCGTACATCGATGTGAATACACGACAAAGTCTTGAAAGGCATAAGAGAAGAAGCACGATCTAGAGATAAAATGAAGTACTGAAAATTGCATCACACATGATATGCAACGTGAACATATTACAGGTTGTGTTTCATGATAGCAGTCAAAATAAAATCAAAATGCATCGCAAGGAAACATCTACTTGAATATTCTGTATTGGACCGACCTTACCACACACTCTATATGCCGCACTAAAACGAAAGTATTTGTAGATATACTTTTCAAAAATGGAGACTAATATACTACTTACGTTATTTTATATATCTGCTATCTTCATAATATACATGACCGTGGCTGAGTGACTGACTAAATCTCCGATCTATCTCTTCAAAATCAAAGCCACAATTGCATTTTTCAAGATTGCAAACGCAAGAATGCAATCAGAGATAAGTTAGGATCAACTTTTTACTTAGTATCCATTCATTCCAATCTCTAGCCTTCTCTACTAACTAGGTTCCACCAATATCCACACACAACGATACAACACACCCATCCTTCAAAAACGTATGAAGCACTGCATCCTGTAAAAGCATCACAGTTGGGTATAAATTCTTATAGTGTACACCTACAGTATCCCGATTTTCCCTTGACAGGTTTTCGGTTATTTAAAATCGTACATTCTTCCAATTTACATCTCTTCAAAGCCACATGATAACACAGTGTGCAAAATATGAAGCATGTCAAAACCGATCTATCCATGCTTCAAATCGAGCCTTTATTTTCTACTTTAAAACCACATGCAAGCAAAGGACATCAAACATTCATCAAAGTTGATTACAGCGGCAGCTAGCACACTTCTTATCTGTGCCTCTTGCATTTACAGATATCTAATTCTTCATGTATTGCTCTTCCTAGAATCACATCTCCACCAAATTCTAAGCTCAAGCGTGCTTATGATAAGTACACACAATAATGACTTAGTTATTCATCAATCGTCCTCATCCTTCGTCAACAACACAGCGCCTTCCTTCGATTAAAACTCCAATCCTCGATGAATAATCTCTAGCCTGACCCGATTCACTTATCGATATAATGCAACTCACAACAGTGACAAACTCTATGCCTTTAGCAAATACAGAATATGAATTGCCGTATCCCAATAATAGTTCTGTTCACCAATCGATTTCACTGCGATGAGTAGAACAATGAGATTCATCAGATGACTCAACATCACATCAAAAATGAATATTTCTCATAATAGTTCTGTTCACCTATTGATTTGATTTCGATGAGTAGAAGAATGAGATTCATCAGATGATTCAACATCACATCAAAAATGAACATTTTTCATAATTGTTCTGTTCACCTATTGATTTGATTTCGATGAGTAGAACAATGAGGTTCTTCAGATGATTCAGCA